TTAATCACTGAAAGAGGGTGTTGGGAGGTTACAGACAAAGCCGGCATGTTGGATAGAATGGAGTGGTCTGAATAGCTTCAAGCTAGCCGGCTCAGGAAAAAGACTACAATAGGTATACATGCGTGGTGGTGCGGAAGGGCAGGTACCGTACGGGAGGGAGAAGGAGGGTAAGTACAGGATGAGAAGAACCGATGGGGATGGCTTCACCAGAGACGAAATGTGTTGTTTGCGGCAAGATCACGCTGATGCGGTAAACGAAGACAAGACAGAATGGCTGGTAGCATTGGTAGTAAGTAATAGCCTACTACTAACACTATCATCTAGTTTCTCTCCCACCACAGAGGAGTAGCCCCCTAGTAAGTAGGACCTGTGTATAGCCTCACGCAATCCTCAGAGGAACAAAACACCAAAGCAACAACAAAAGAAAAAAAAGGTGCCGGTTTAACCCAGTTACTTTCCCTTCAATTAACCTGGTCTTCGTGCTTAGTATCGAGTTGTAGCCGGTGGGCCCTACACTCTTAGACGCACACATTGAAGACTGCTTCAGGAACTGGCCTCGATATCACGCCGGTAGGGGCCGGGACTGGGATTCGAACGTGTGCCACTGCGTTTCCTACAACCTTTCGGGAGGTAATGACAGCCTTCTCTTAGGGCGACACTGGGCGGCTCATCAGCGTACCTTGAAGTCCTCCGGCCATTCGACCATCGGGTTCACTGGGTTAGTGGGGCTTCCCTTTTATCAAATATAAGGGAGCGTTGTAAGGATTTGAGGCTCCTGATTGGCTGGCGGTATATGCAGAGGCAAGAGCAGCTGGAGGGTGGCTGAAGGACATATGAGGAAGGAGCAGTGAATTGCGCGAGGTGAGGTCATTGCGGGAATTGGTAGTTGTGCGGAGGGCGGATAGAGAGTGGAGTGGGTATAGCGGATATCAAAGATTGCGGATGGGGTTGCGGAGGTCTTGGCGACCACAACAGATTTCGAGGATCATATTGATCCTAGCATTGGCAATTTGCATGAACTTCATGGCATGATGGTATCTTGAGAAATGGAGCGCAAGTGGAAATGTAGAGCTGGAATCATGGGATGGTCATATGATATATAGCTTCGGACTATTCTCATTGTTGTGGACATCCATCGTTTGACACATTTCTATGATAATGTTAGCAAAACGGTCTCTAGAACTTTTTTTCTGTTTGATTTATGCTCTTTCAGTCTGAATCTATTTATCTTTAATATAGACATAGTTCCAACTCAAGTTACCCATGCTTGTGACTCAGATTTCTTCTGTCAGGTTTGATAGTGGTTGACAAAATATTCTCCCACGGATTATTGTGGGAGACGGCAGTATTATCCGTTTGCTGACAGACCAGGCGGTGAGACGGGCCCACCTAAGCGATGCCCCATCCATGTCTATACACCACCATCAACAGCTATACTATGAACCTCCCAAGATTAACAGATGCTTCACTGCATAGAACGAACAGGTATTTCTCTTCTTTGAATCAGTTGATTCTGGAAGCTGGTATGTCTTTGTTTTTGCCCATGGCAGAATTCTTCAATTCCTCTTCTCATTAATGCGTGACCAAGCAGTCTACCGGGACTGCTATTCTAAAGTGTACTCTGTGTACTCTGCAAATCAATATGACTCCGCGCGATTATCAGCCATTCATAGAAATTGTTTCAACAGAATTTGCGATCTCATCTACTCCATGTCAGCTCATGATCGTTTTATACGAAGCTCAGGTAAATCACGTACCCCTCATCCCGTTGAGTGCTTCGAACGCAATCGCATAGTTTCCCAAAGCCTTCGAAACCTGCCGCAGGCTCTGTCGCAGTTCATCCAGGAACCCGCCTAGAGATCGACTGCTCGATGTCGTCAAGTCATTTCCCACTGGCTCACGCATCGCCCGGGCCTTCAAGCACAACATGATCATCGCATAGCTTGACTGCATAGCACAACAGGCAAAAGTCGGCATCATTCGTGGTATCTCCACCCGGGAATTGCGTGAAAGGTAAGGTGGGTTAGTCAATGGGATCTCATTCGTCGGATTTGGATACGGCAGGCTGTCCAGAAGGCTGACAATGTTTAAAGCTGCATGAAGGCAGATTTTCGAGGACGCGTGTGCGGAAAACGGGAAGTCGATAGCTGCGGGCTCGGAGAGCACGGAGGATAAAAAGCTGTCGGGTGAGGAGGTAGGTGGCCTGGAAGCTTCAGCGACCTGCCCACGACAGCATCTGGGCCCTGCAGCTGCGTCCAGGTCGCAATGGCGCTTTCGAAAGACGGGGATATCCTGGAAAGCGCAGAATCGGTGAGTCTTGATCCTAGCACTACATGGAATTAGTCTTAGCTGATACAAGAATAACATGTAGGTATATACCTGTGTAGCTTGATTTCTGCAATGTGTCTTATCGTGTGCAGGGCAACGACGTCCGGTGAGTCCTGGGTTGCGACAGGCGACTTTATGGCCGAGTCTTGAATCGACACGCGACATGGATGCAGCAGACACGTTATTTGGTTGTCCAGCTCTGTCATCCGCTGGGGAACCCAGGAGGCATTGAAGTGAGACTTTGTGGTTAGATCCAAATCGTGAACGAAGGTTGTGGCTTCGAGAATGGTCTGCTGGGCCTCGATGAGCAGTTTCCATCCCTGTACGTGTCAGAATCTGTCAAACCACGAGAGATAGATACTCACCTTTGGAATTGGTGTTACAAATCGAGGGTCATACGGATTAATGGCAGGGGGCTATATGTGTAAGTTACGCATGTCAGAGACCTGGAGCACGACTACATACCATCCCGCTAACAATTGATCCTTGGCAGACCGTCAAATACTTCAAGATGTTAGCGCAACTAGTCTGTCAATAACTAGGATATACTGACTGTGATCCACCAAGCTCTTCGACGTGCCTCAGAGTATTCATCCTCATCGACCATCTCGTGCAGCGACATGCTCATGGCGGCTGTCAACGCTTGCCCCGCTCGATTACACATTTTGTTTATGTTCCCCCGTTGAGCATACTCGTATACGCTCAGCACCACCAACGCTAGAACCGCTTCCAGACAAACAGGCACTTTGCTGTGGAATTCCTTCCGCTGATACTGGGGTGCGCCGTCCGAAAGAGCTTTCGATGGATCAACCGAAGAGTCCAGCAGCTCAAGGTCAGTCTCCACGGCCTCTAGTGCAGACTGTGCAAAGGAATGGGCAAGGTCTCGACGCAGCTTCACATACTCCGACCGTGAAGGCTGTTTCACCTCGGGATGCGGGATAAGGGCGAGAATTGCTGATATAGCTAGGCTAAGAGGGCTAGAAGGTCGAAAAGGCGACCTTTCGGACAAAGGACGATTGTAAACCGGCACTCGTTCTGGGGGAGGCAATATCGGATAATAAAGGTGAATGAAGACATAGTAGGCGTCCAGTCTGCGCCGGTCAGAACATTTTAGCGAAATGCCTGGGTTCATCTTACATGTCCGCATCACTCGCGTACGTCTGCAACAAATCTGGTGGAGGGACAGGAGGTTCCGGTACCATGGATGGTTCATCGACCATGAATATTGAATCAAATATCTGTTCCATTTCAGTAACGGAGCTTTCGACACTGCGCAGTCCTGCGCCTGGGGCGCCCAGGCTCAAGATCTGGCTGAGCCAGCCTGGGGAATCATTAGCTTAAGGTCTTCAGCGATCCTCCAACAACTGCCTAGGTTGTGTACCATCTTCATCCGAGCTCGACGGCGGACCCTCAATGATGGGGCTACCTCTCTTTTGGGTCTGATAACCTTCATCCGGCGCATCAGAGACTGTTGTCGGGGGCGTTGATGCCCGTTTACGCTTGCGATTCTGGCAGTTTCGTGGACCGCCTCGTTTACTAGGGACATAGCAACATATTGTATCCTTGGCGACACAGTTGGAGCATCGTTCCTGGCCGTCACAACGCACCCGCAACGTCCGACTGTTGGGAACTGTGAGCGCTTGTAGTTATGAAAACATCAGTGGCGGCAGACCTACCACGACAGGCAGGCGACCTTGACTGGGGGCTTGCAGAACCTGCGATGCCCTGGACGGGAGACATCAACGAATGTCTTGGGCGATCCCATTGTACGGGGAAAGTCAAGTAATCTAGTTACTAGTGGTAATCGGACTTTCAGGTCCGAGAGGAGGTGTTCGTCGAGGCCGCAACCGATTTATGCAAAAGCCGGTGGCGCAAATCCCGGGCGAGGCAAACCCCGGTTCGATCGCCAGGACCCGCGGTCGGCTCCTGTTCCCACTTCTGCCTTCACTTTATCGAGATCCGCGGCGGGAGATCGTATGATCCATTATGGAGCAGAAGAGCTCTCTGACCCGTGTTTGATTGGTGTCATACTCACTCTGACTCGCACGAGTGCAAGCAAATCCCGACACCAAATCCCTGCTAACCTTTTCCCTTCGGCCAACTTTGCGGGGCGAACGTTATCCGGGGCCTTCGTGGCTATGCATGTAATATCGGCTGACCTTTCTCATTTGCTGCAACAACAGGGGCAACACACGCAGTTGATAAGTGCGAGAAGTACGAGGAATTTTCGTGGCTAGCTGCGTCGCTGCATGAAACTCTCCGAGTGGTCGCCTCAAACCGGTTTTTGGAATTGGCTGCAGAGCCTACAAGCCCGTGCGCCACTGTCCACATTGTCACCGTCTATAGCCGTGAGGTGTCGGTGTGGTATACCTACATCTACATTTTCTACTGTGACCAACGTGATATACCAACATTCAACTGAAGAAGACGAAATGAAGAGATGCTGAAAGAATGGAAAATACGAAGAAAGAAGGAAGCGAAGGCTTTTTGTTTTACGTTGTCAACCCGAAAAAGGAGCCTAGTAAGCAAATGTGTGCGTTCATTCAAACAAATTTAATGTACAAGTCGATATTTCAACAATATCTCGTTATTAGAGCCTATCTGGTTTGGCACGGGACGGAGCGGAGAGGAACAAGGCTGGTTTTCAATGAACCGACACATCGGGTGTGACTCTAGTTCTCCGAATCCACGGTGTTCGCGATGTCCAAGGGAGTAGAAAGCCCAACTCGGTCGACAGTGCGGGTATACTCAACCCCTCCATTCACGCGGTCTTCCCGGACGACGAGGTCCTTTCGGTTGGTGTCGACCAGCAAGCGGATGAGGTCGGGACGCATGTAGTGGCCGCCCTGGGTGGAACAGTTAGCAAGATGTAAGGAATGCATCCGGAGGATCACTTACAAAGTCAGCCAGGGACTTGGAGAGATGGCATTCATCCAGGTCAATCTGTAAAAATGTGAGCATTCTGCACGTCAGTCGAAAGGGGAAAGTAACTCACATCAACAAACAGGAGTCCTTCGAAGTCCTTGTCAGGGTGAGGAACAAGGTTCTGGCCGTCGGGGCCGAAAATGCGACCGTGACCGTTGTAAATGTGGGGATCCTCCAGGTCCTTGCCAGGGGGGGTGTTCAACTTGATGCCTTCGGCGGTGATCGTTTGCCAGGGCGCCAAGGTGTACGTGCCGGTTTCGATGGCATAGGCGGGGGTGACAAGCTGCGCAGTCTTCATCAGCCCTCAGACATCAAAACAAAGAAGGATTTTCAGAGGAGAACTTACGTCCGCATTGGCCTCCGCCACGTTGGTGAAGGGGTCCGGGTACTTCAAGGTCTCCTTACCAGGGTAGAGTGGCCAGGCAGCAACGTGGACCTGTTCGCCCAAAGAGGCTGCATACGCCTTCATGAAGGGGTTCATGTTCTCCCAGCAGTTGAGGTGGCCGACGCGGCCGATGTCAGTCTGGATGACCGACTCGGTGGTGTCACCGGTGCCGTCGCCAAACACCAAGCGCTCGACATGAGTGGCTCTGATCTTACGGCGGTGGTTGAGGATATCACCGGACGGGGAGATCATGACCTGAGTGGTGTACAGACTGGCCAAGTCCACCTCCGAGTAGCCCAAAGACACGTAGATCTTGTTGGCGCGGGCTGCGTTGCGGATCCGGCGCATCTCGTCCGAGTCGGACGGAAGGCTGTTCTCGCGATACTTCTTCAGAAGAGGCAGGCTCTCCTGGTAGTTGACCTTCCACATCCAGTAGGGATATCCAGGGATCCCTGTTCTAGCGTTAGCTAAAAGTCTCTGATACATTCAGGTGGGAGGCCTTACAAAGCTCGGGGAAGGCAATGAACTTGCATCCGGCCTTGCCAGCCTCGTCAATCCAGTGGATGGTCCGGCGGACTGATTCCTCCAGGTTGAACCAGCCAGGCTCAGCATTGACTGCTGCGGCCTTGTACTTCTTCAGGACGGGAGCCATGGTTTGATGAGTTAAGTAGTTTTGCTAGGAGAGATGTTGTTGAGATGATAGATGCTGTTGTAGATGATGGGAGTGATTCGGATGAGAAGTCGTCTCTCTTTATATGTTCCACTGTCACATCGTGAAATGTCTCCAACAGCGAGTCTCCCATTGTCCTGATCATTTGATTCGGGAGTCACGGAGCACGGTGTCTGCTTTCTTCTCTCCCAACATTGTATGCCATCAACAAGTGCACACGGGGCACTGTTTGAAATATCGTCCCATCGTGCCGGGGTTTGGCACGCTGATAAGGTGGGCTTGAGCGTTGCAGATGTGGAGGAGACGTGAGGAGTACTGCATAAGGCGACAAGCCAAGCCCCTCATAAGCTCCGATGATAGCACAATTCAAGCTGCGGGCCAAGCAAGTGGATTCACGGAAAATAGCTCCTAACGGTTGATCTGCCGTGTCCCCCAGATCCCGTCAACATGACATCTCGGATGAGAACGGAACCTGGGATCTGATAGTACTGTCCGCCTCATATCCGGGATAAGCTCGGTTTTCAGATAGCCCATGCGGGGATGGCCCACCGATGTTACGGCGTAGCAGCAAACCCCGGGCCGCTGCGTGGAGACCTGCAAAGTCCGGACTTGATCACGCCACAATGATGGCATAACAAATTTCTCGGAGAGCTCAGAGATGGCTTCTTCAAATTGTCTATTTGTACACAGTGGATACTTTACTTTGGAATAATGTCTAGACATGATGCCACTCCGGATTACCGAATGCTGGTAAAATCCAGGCTACAGACCACTGGATGCGTGGCTTGCAACTCCGGAATTTTGCAATCCGGCAATTTCTAGCAGCGCATGTTGGTCCTTCCTCATAGTTCTGATACCTCAAAACTGGGCCTAGAACCTTTGCAAAGGGAATATACTATTACCGACCATGGCCTTGCAGAACTTGGCCCTTCCTGCACTCAGTGTACAGTTCTTGCCTAGCAGCTTATCTATATACCTCGATGGCGAGCACACAAATGCTTCGATCTCCATGGTCATTTCCTCCGTATTAGATTTCCAAAATACTACATCGATGATCCCAGGTGACCCGATGAACAAGATCTTTGAACTCACATGACCAGCTAACCTTGTCTGGTTATCTTTTGCAACAATTGCACCTAAGGAATAAACTCTATCAGAACTCAATTCATTCCCAAGATACACCCATTTACGCCGTCGGAGCCAGAATTGATGGTATCCCGAGCCGACAAGTACAGGATGCTCTGGAAAGGAGCAGGGAGCAGAAAATACTAAAGTTATTGAGCAACCATCCTCTTTGCATCTACACAATAAATTACATTAGCCCAGATCTTCCACATCCGCATTACACATGCGATGGACAGTTCCCAGGCCGCGTGGAAGACTACACACTACTCATGTACTTGATGTTGGCGCTTCCCCCTTGCAAAATATCTAGTAGACTTCAAGTATCCTCAACTGGAAGTCGGGATGGGCTGACTACAGACTAGACTGTTACCGTGTCGGGGAGGGTAGGTCTAATACCGTTCTTCTGCATTTTGGTACGGAAAGCCGCTGTTCCTCTAGCAATAGATGGCCACTGGATATCGTCTTTAAACAGGTACAAAGATATGAAACGCATTACTGGTACGACCTATCCGGCAGTACTTAGCACTAGGGCTGGTGGTGCTATGTATTGTCTTGTCCGCTCTTACCTCAAAACCCACTCGACCAAAATGCGTCTGGATAGGCGTCAAGCTATGTCTCTTATTAGTTTTCCATCAATGGTGAAGGTACCCCTTCGGACAATCTCTACAAGATTTTCACTGGCTGGATTGTGATGTCGATGATGATGATTGCGATGAGGAGGTCCATAAGGGTGATATTGATGCGACATCGAACGCCACTCGAGGTGATGGATCCAAGGGCTTGGGGAAATGGATATAGATACAGAACGAGGAGCTCATCTCGTCGCTTGATCACTAGCACGAGTATTCCTGGTCCATCAATGAGTTAGATATATTACTGTAGCAGTGTCTGGGTGGATAAGTGGCTGTTCCTAGGTTTGATTTAAAGATCGATTAATTCGTGACGAGGAACAGGACTTAAAGTAGACTCGTCAATGTTCTGGCTTAGTCTTACCAACCGGAAGTTATGGGAAGTTAGGCCTTTAAACTTTGGGTAATCAGTAAACCCGACCGGAATTACGAAAGTCCCTTCTTAGCTCTGAAATTCGTATATTGATTCAACCGTGTGATTCGGCTGAAGAGACAAGCAATGGTCAGTCACGAGGAAGACGGCTACACTCTTGGCCCGCAAGGCATTATTCAGCTGATAACTATATTATTTAAGAAAAACATGCTTCCCTTCCGGGTTTCTTTCGCCATATTTCAATTCTGTGCATCTGTTCCACTCCTGCAGTCCACAACACGTCCCATTCCTCCACGCAAGGCAGCACATCACCAGTATAAATCATAAAAGACATAATACTAAAGACACATCCCCCGCATGGCCTCCATAGGAAACTAATCAAGGGTGGTCATGTTGTTCGACAATGCCGTGCAGTTGATCGGGAGGTTGATCGGAGGGTACATGCCCTCAGGTGAGAAAGCCAGACTGCTGTAGTTGTACGTCGGGCTCATCATCATGATCTGGCCCACTGTAGTGCCGTACTTCTCTGCAAGGTCCTTGTACACACCCCATTTGAAGACGTAAGGCTGGATGACACACTGACTAGGATCGCACTGAGGCACCTTGATGAACTGGCCAACATCCAACTCCGCCGTCGGGGAAGTAGGATTGGTTAGAGTCTCATTTGCAGGCCCATCCACGTGCATCAGTGATTCCACCGTGATGTTGAGTCGGCGGGCAATCACTTCGTAGGTGTCTCCCCGAACGGTGTAGTAGAGACGAGGTCCGCCGTAGATACAGGTGCGGGTAGCATTGATGTTTGGCAAGAGACAGGATGTATTGTCTGGCTCGCACACCTCGGGAGGGATGATGAAGTACTCGCCCACATTGGGAACAATAGTTACATCCGCCATGAGGTTTTGGCGGCCGATGTCACAAACACCGCGATTGGTGGCACGTGCAACATCAAAGACTGTTGTGCCATCCACCGTGATATAATAATTATAAGTGGTCGTGTTCAGGGCTGATGTGTTGCAAGCTGCTGCTGCAACAGCCACTGATACAAGCGAGAGAGCCAAAAGCGATTGACTGAAAGCCTTCATCTTGACCGGGTATGTGGTGGACTCAATCAGGAAATGAGGGACACAGAGAAAGAGAGACAGATGCTGAGGATGAAGGACGTCGCTGGATGATCTCAATAGCAAGGAGAGGACATGTCGTTTCTTATATAGCTCAGAAACCAGGAACTCGGACACGGCTGCTCGGAGGTAAGGATCTACAAAAGCTGCGTCGTTGGGCAATCACTTTTCCGACTCGCAGCGAAGAGATTGAGTTGCGCGGCTTCTATCCGTCTCTCTGCGGCCCAGAGACGGCTCTCTGTTGATGTTACTCGCCAGGAAGTTCGCTGGACTGATCACCAGTGGAGCCGAGGTCTCAATCTCTTCTGCAATGTAGATGATTTCCTTATCAATTACATGCTGATGAGCGTCTGGCTTCTCAGTGGACAATACCTCCTGACACCCCACATGGGACCTTTTTTCCTTGCGACCTCCGGAGCCAGGGACCGCATATCATCTTCCCAAATAAGCGATGTCTCCGATATGTGAAATCAACTCGTCACTTGCAATAGGTGGACTTAACCAGTTATTTCCCGCTGGATGTTATTGGGCCCTCAACGCGGACGCTAGGGAGGGTGCTGTGGGGGTGGGGAGCGGTGGATCTAGGTCAAGACGGAGTCTGCAGCGACGCACAGATGACCGATCTAGCCTCTTGATCATGCTCAGACCCCCGAATGGCAGAATCAAATCAATTATGATGCGTAGAATAGTATGCATGAGAAAGTAAAGCGGATTTCGGAGCTAACTACTCGGTGGTAATGCTATGTCAGAGGGGGGGGGGGACTGGTTTGGTGGCGCATGGTTATGGTATTGTATGGAGCATATTGCGGTAACTGTCTCATCCTCTTCGTCAGACTCTTTTTTCAGCACGGGAGACCTAGAAATAAGGTTGTTTAGCCACATCTTCCGAACTAGACTATAGATCCCGGCAACCCTGGGGAAGCCGTGAATTTGAGCCACTGATCGCCTTGCCAAGTTCTAGTAGTGGGCTCTGGTTACTCAATACTTATCTTTGATGTAACATCGCAAAGCAGTGACAACTCTGGGCAGTTTGTTGCCTGGTCAGAATGTGTCTTTTTTTTTGTCTGGTACCTGAAGTTGGGACGCCGATATCGCGCTTACCCGATTGGGGTCGGGTTTGCGAAAGCTCCACCGGCCACACGTCTTGGTTAACGGACCGTGCATGAGTTTGTCTAAACAACCAAACACAGTAAATAATCGACATAATGTTTGCAGACGGGCTATATGGTACCCGCCAGTGGGGGTTGGTGAGGGGAAATTCTCTTTACTGACCGCATTCTCCCTATATGCCGCCTCTGCATGAGACCCTTTCTCACAATAAGTTGTTCGAACTGCAACCCTCCACAATGTCTTTGCGGCATGTATTCGGGTAGCGTATATGCACTTGAAGGTAGCGAGTTATACGTGGTGGTGGCTCGGCTATCGCTTCTCAGAACGATCGAATTCACTCGTACGTTGTTTGGCTCGACTTGCAGGTAGTAGCTAATCAACGTATCATTGTGAGTTCTATTGGGGCGCCAAGACATATGAGGTATTAACAAGCGATAATGAGGTGTTCATGCGAGTGCTTTTCCCCATATGCCATGTACATGCCGCCTTCTATACCTGCATAGCTTCCATGTCCATCTGCCCGACGTCCTGCCCACGATTGAGATTATTCCCCGCATCCTTTACTCGTCATTTCTGCCGGGATATAGGCCGCTAACATGCGTATTGCTGCAATGCCCTCGTATTCCTGCAGCACATGGCCGGAGATGCTTCGAGAATCCATGATTCGCATGCATGTCCACCTATCAACAACCAGTGGTAACCACGCGATGGGAATACCGGATTGAACATATGTGTCTCCCCGGACTCTGTCTCATCAGATGACCCAACAGATGATCTTTGTAGCACTTTGTGGCCATTGTGGTTGGATAGTCTGGAGCATTGCGAGATGTCTTGTAGACTCGGCCTACCGACGGTTAGTGCTAGGATGGTGCAGTAGTGTCGGTGTATGTATCCTAAGCGAATTAACCCCATGCTTTGCTGCATGGGATTCAGTCTGTGTGCCTGCATACCCCCGGGCGTCTATATGCAGGTGAAGGATCGCACGGCATTCCAAAGAGTTAGACTGATTGAGTCCGTTTGGAGATCGAACTAGGAGAGGAATGACGCGTCCATGCAGGTCAATTTCCACATGGACTACTTGGATGTGTCATCCGCTCGGCCAGCATTTTACCCGGAAGTGGGAGGCACACCATGCGCCCCCCGGGGGAAGGCTCTTCGCAATGAAAGTGCCACATGACCGCCATTTCTGGATGTAATGAATGAAGTACCCGATGTTCCTGCCCGCCCTGGGGGGGAGTAGCTTATGCTTCAACATTGTGCATATTTCCACTACTCGAGCGGAGATAATCAATCTTCTAGTTAGTATGTGATAGTGTGGTATTTTGCCATTGTCACCGTAGTATGGCATGGATGAAATGGTAAGTAATTAATGCCTCATTTGGCGGTCGATATATATTTCATTCGGGAGACCGCTGTGGGTAACCCCAATGTCTTGACTGCAACATTAAGACGAGAATTAGAAAAAGATTTTTCCAAAAGCTTCGATGGAAGAAAGCCATACCGAAATTGGAATTAACTCACTGATCTTACTCATGCAACGACAAGCCCGGAAATTCATGTTGCAGACATCAAAACCAACAATTTGACAGATGAGATGAGACAATAGCAAAGGCCTTATAATGTCAAAAAGTATTCCAGATATACAACAAGATCCGATATGGTGTAGTGGCTAACATCGCCGTCTCTCACACGGCAGCCGGGGGTTCGATTCCCCCTATCGGAGCTCAATCATTTCTTTTTCTTTTTTCACCTTCGCAATCACCTTGTGGTACTAAAGTCCTTCTTTCGTTTTCTTTTCGTTGCATTTATTTATTTATCTATTTATTGCTCTTGCACATAGCCCTTAATCCAACAACATCCTCCCATCTCTGATTTTCCCCCAAACTCCACTGCCGAGGATGTTCTTGGCTTGTTAGATACGCGACGGGTTACCCCAAATTGGGGAACGACGGATTGATTGGTAAGATGATGTCAATAAATCCCTTGGCTACCCTCCATTCAGCATCTATATCAATTAAGAATTTCATTCATATACCAGTACTTAGTTTACAGACACTGGTTAGCCCCTTTGCTGATCAACATGGTATCGAAAACAATGAAAGCGATCCAAATCCAAAAATACAACGAGCCATACCATGTGTCCGAGGTGCCTGTCCCTCACCCAAAGCCACATCAAGTATTAGTACGCATCAAGGCTGCTGGGCTCTGTCATACCGATTTGATGGCTCTAAACGGTGAATTTGGAACTCGGTTACCGTTTATTGGATCGCATGAGCCGGCGGGGATCATCGAGCAAATTGGCTCTCAGGTTACAGGTTTCCAGAAAGGCGACCGGGTCGGCTGCATCAATTTCGACAGTGTCTGTGGTAAGTACGGCTGGGGTTGGTAGATGTCGTCGTCCAGTGGCAGCAATGTTAAGGTAGCTTTTATTGGTGTGGAATGTAGGAAAATGTCCGGACTGTAAAGCTGGTCGTCCTATCTATTGCGATGCCCCGATGATGAAGGGCATCACTGCTGATGGAGCGTGGGCCGAATACATGGTTGCGTGAGTAGTGCTACTTGAATCCTTCGATAATAAGTATTCTCCTGTCTAATTCTGCATGCAGGGATGCTCGATTTATAGTGAAAATACCAGATGATATGGAATTCAAAGTGGCAGCACCTCTGATGTGCGCTGGGATTAGCATCTACGGCGGCATAGTCCGAGCCAATGTGCCCCAAGGCGGCTCTATTGGCATTGTCGGGATTGGAGGTTTAGGTCATATTGGTACCCAGGTTGCTAAGTGCATGGTAAGACAACAAATAGATTGAAGTCAAGTCAGAGAGATACAGATGATAACGACCTTGAACAGGGCTACAAGGTAGCGGCAATCGATGTCAAGCAGTCAGCTCTGGATGCAGTGGCATCCTACGAGCACAAGCCTGACGTCTCCATCCTGGCCATAAATCCAGTGGAAGAGTCCCAAGAGAAGATTAATAAGGCTGTAGCTGGCGACTATCCAGGCCTTGATGCGACCGTCTTAGCCACGGATCATCCGTCGGCCTTCGAATTAGCGGCTGCCCTTACACGGAAGCACGGTACGATGGTCCTGCTTGGTCAGCCCGAAAAGGGGATAACCATGTCATACCACACGGTCATTTACAAGGACATCACGTTGGTAGGCTCCTTAATTGCCGACACAGCTGATGCGCAGGCGTTCATTCAGTTGTTCCACGAGAACAAGCTGCACGTGGAAGTCAAGGAGTGGAAGCTGGAGCAGGCAGAGCAGATGAGGCAGGAGTACTTGACCGGAAAGTCGAATGGCAAGAATGTCATTGTTATCGACTGACTGGCCCCGAATTTCTAAGCTGAATCATGCTAGAAGATACTAGTTTGGACGCCGATTTAGCGTCTTCTGCGTCATAGTCGCTGTGGGACCAAGTATATTAGCTAGCAGGAAGGCGTCGGATGTGAGGAAGTAGCAGATGCTTAAAATAGCCACTACTACCATCTGTCGGGATAAGACTGATATCGTGACGTTCCTGCCAATATCGTAGGATTGGTGTCCCAAAACAATCAAGACGAATGGCTTGCATAGATCCCATGAAAACTCATCTTCAGCAATCGCAATGATGGATGCAACCGCAGCGAGAACCACGAGGGACCGTACACTATTCTGCAGATGTGCCTATACACAGAGCTTCTCCCTGGCAACAAGGATCTGGCCAAAAGCCCCGTCCTCTTGGGCAGGGGACTTCAATATGCCCCTGGATGGATGCTGCGCGCACTACCGACACGCTAATCGGTAGGAGGCTAGGAGCATCCGAATGGAAGCTCCAGAGTGGTAGCTATTTTGCCCCGGTGAACTTATAGGCTACTAAGATTCTTAGACCCACAACTGATACAGTCTCGATTCCTTGGTTGTGCCCGATAGAACTCTTCCCTTTTCCTCAAGATGACAGGCATAGTCATTACTTCACATCGACCTAATGGTGTCACTGCATCAGCGATAGACGAACACCGCCTTGTTCAATCGCTGATACAAAGTCATGCGATAAGTACGATTGTCGCTCATCCGATAT